TCATATCAAGAATTAATATAACATATATTTTCAACATCAATTACAAAAATAACTAATATGATTTTTAAGACATTCTATATTGGTTATCTTTATAATGGTTTGATTTTGATTGTCGTTCATGAAAAAAAATTATAAGTTTTTTCTAAAAATCTTGTAATATAGAGTCCATCATATATCATTTTTTTTTAATGACACATATTAAAATATATTTTATTTTTATTTTTATTTTTGTATAAGTTAAATTTTAGGATGTAAAGATTAAAAAATGTAAAACAAGATTTGAAATGGAAATCAAGAAACAAACCAAAATCATTAAATAAAAAATAGATCAATCCAAAATTCAAGAACCAAATCATCTAAAATTCACAATTCCCTAAAAATTTAGATCCAAGTTTGAGTAATTAACCGATTCAATTAATCAACTAAACTCATTTATAACAATAAAATCAAAATATCATTTAATCTAATTCGTATTTAATTATCAAATCAACATTCAATTTATTCTTAATTTGATTTCTAAAATCATAATTAAAATTTGACTTATTTGATCTTGAATTCGGGAATTGATCCTCAATATTTAGTTATTTATAGATGAAGAACACAAACCAAATTCAGAGAAGAGAATATGAAGAGTCAAAACGAAAATAAGAGAAAAAAAGAGATAAAAAGACAATTTCTAAAAATCGGATCAAATGTTTGATTTATATAAGTTTAAAGCACGTTTAAGTTATTTATATAATCCGAAGTGTGAAACAAACGTGAGCCTAAATATGAGTTCTAATTAGGTTCATAAGCTCAATTATAAAAGTTAAATTAAAACAAAGAAAATATAATTCACATGAGTTGTTTTACAAAATTTTAGCAAATTTGTATCAACCACAAGAAATTGTATAAACTAGCGAAAAATTTCAAATTCTACAAACCACATATCCATTTCAATTAGGAGTGACAAAACGGATTAGATTCGGTAGGTCGACCCACCGAGTCCGTTTTGGCCCGTCTCGTCCAGTCTCGCAATTTGACAAGCCAAGGACAAGGCGGGACGGGCTAGTCCACTGACACGCTTAAAAATAATATTTATATATTAAAATAAAAATAATTATAATTAAAAATATTATATTTTTTATTATATTATTGAGATATCTAAATATATTATAATATTATAATTTAAATTATAAAAATTAATTAATAAAATTTAAATTATTATTTATTATTTATAATTAGTTATGTTCACACAAATATAATAATTTTTTTAATTTATCTAATAAAAATATTAATTAATAAATAAAATCTTAAAAATTATTCATATAATTAAATATATATATATATATATATATATTTAATATATAAAAATATTTATATAAAAAAAATCATTGGCGGGTTGGAGTCTATAACCCAGTCCTAATTACTGGTGGATCAGCTGTCTCATCCCATTTTGGACAAGTCAAAGATACAAATCAAGACTGATGCAGATTGGTATCTTTTGTCATCCCTAATTTCAATACTATAAAAATATAAAATACAATCCAACTTGTAAATCAATTAAAAATAATATTTACATAAAAAAGTAAATAAAAATTATGTTAAAATTATAAAATTAAAATAAATATGTACATTAAATCAAGTTTATTACTAATAAGAAAAAATGAATTTAAAACTAAAAACAAAAACATAAAAAATATACACTTAATATATATTAAAATTATAAAATATATACGAAATATATATTATCACTTAAAATATATATATATATATATATATATATATATATATATATATATATATATATATATTCCACTAATTCATTATAATATTATACCTAATTTACTTTCTATCTCTACTACAAAACAATGAATACATAGAATAAAATTTCCACTACATATATTTTTACGTGAATATCTTTTTTACATCAATTTCTCGTAAGTTGATATTATATTAACAACTTTTTTTACTTTAGAAACATCAATATTTTTGTAAATGTCCAAAAATTTATTGAACATAATAAATATTATTTTAAAATATGCTTGAGACATGTTTATTATTTCTTAATTAATAAATATAATATTTTTAATTATTTATTTAGAATTTAGGATAAGAGGTTTAGAGTTTAGAATTTAGAGAATTATTAAAAAAATATATAATATTTAATTCTGAGTATCATATTTATATCATGATAGTTATATGCATAAATAGTGTATTTTTAACATTAATTGTGCTTAGTGTAATGTATATGTGGAAATTAAACAATGTTTCATAAAACTTAATATATGTTTAAGGACTAAAACAAGGATTAAGTTTTAAGATTTATTTAATCTTTATGACATTTAAAAAAAATAAAGTACAAATATTAATGTGAAAGTACTTGACTCTTTGGATAATTCAAATAGTGTTTTACCCTAAAATTTAAATAGACCATAGTATATCAACCCATGTTAAGTGAGCATGGAATAACAGTTTACAGTTAATGAATTTGTCCAGGCATCATGGGGTCGCATAGTCCTACATATTTATCTTTTTTAGAGTATCTGTACCAAGTTTGGACATATCTCTTTGATGACCCTTGCAATGCGCTTCACATTTTTGTGAAACATCTAGAGATTTTATTACTTGTGCTGCAGCATTTCCCAAAAAATAGATAAAATCAAATTTTTGTACCGGATTGAACAATTTAGATGAACATTAAACTTTTTATGTCACTTACTACCATAATGACGTGTATATTATAAGAAAGATACAAAAGCAACTGTTAACCCAACATCTTTACGTACTGTAATAGGGTCTTAGAATCAAACTATATTTATGTCCTTTATGTTTTTTACAAATGATGCCAGAGATATGATTTCTGGTCATCTGTTAAAAAAAAAAGTTATGAGACAGACAAAATTTGTTGAGTTTCCTTGAATGTTGGGATCTCTATGTTTTGTATGAAATGGTGTATGTATGAAAGAATAATGGTGAGTGTTTGGCGGCTAATTAAAGGTGGGTTTAATTAAGAAACAAACACCGCGATCTTAGGAAAGATAGAGCTTAATTATGTATGTGTCATAAATGCATATACCCTTAAAAGGTACTGATAACAATGAATTTACTGAGAAACATGATACCCCATGAGAGAGAGAGAGAGAGAGAGAGAGAGAGAGAGAGAGAGAGAGAGAGAGAGAGGAGGTGTTTGATGAGCGTATAGGGCAGGAAAGTCTTGTGGCTCCATGCGAAAAGGAGAAATGCATGTGATTCATCAGTCTCAGAAATGGACACTTGGAGGGAATTTGTACTTCAAAATGGGTTCAGGACAATTTATACCATCTGTTATTACTTTTCTACCATCTATATATTATAACTATATCTTTATTAAAGTAATTTTACTTTTTCTTATTATAAATATAAACATTGGTTTAATTTATTTCGAGAAAAGTTAAAAAAAAAAACATTAAACAAATTAAATATTTTACTAAAATAAAACTACTATTTTGAGGAAAAAATAAGTTTCCATGAATCATATTTCGGAATTAGGAGACATGCATTAAATGAAAAATGAAGTACACTAAAAATGTATATTTTTCGTTAACTTTGGACAAAAGCACATGCTAAAAGCACCATGAGCTCGTTAATGTTATACCGTTTTATTTTTGGAAATTATTCTAGAGCCATTACATTTCCATAACCACCTAATTTGTCATTTAAGGCAATGTACCCTTCAATGATCAATATAGCATTCGGTAAACAATTTTTTGGGCAAATAATATTTTTTAGCTGTCAAAGTTTCAGATTTATTTTAGGAATCATTACGGCATGTAGGTTTCAATTTTATTTCTAAAAACTTTTGAAAGGTCTTTTTTTTATTTATGTATAAGTCTTCTTCAATTTATTTCTTACTATATATTTTGGAATTATTGGACTTTCATTATCTTTCCAAAATCACCAAACTCGTCGTTTAAGGCAATGTACCCTTTAACAATAAGTGGACACCATGTGGTGAACAATCATTTTGAAAAATGGTCCTTTTTATCAGTACTGCAATTTTTCAATTTTTTAAAGGTTATTTAATACTTGTTTACTTCAATTTATCTTTTAAAATGAATAATTTCTGTAAAACGTTCAAAAGATTATATAAAAATAAATGTGAAATAATAGAAATATTTTTGGGACATAAAACATTCCTAAGATAATCTGTGAATAAGTTACCATGAAAGCTTGATATTTGTCGGTAAAAGTAAATTTTTCGTAAGTAACTTATTAAAATTACTATACTTTCTCATTTTTATTTCTAGTCTTTCATGCCCTTCAAGTAAAAACTTACATGTCTGACAGAAAATACAATGTTACTTAGGAGATAAAAATTAATCGATTTCCCATTTTAATTGGGGAGACAAAAATAGAAACAAAAATCCACAACTTCAATCCTTCAACCTCATATCTAGGTAAGAGTAATAATTGTCTCAACAGCACAAATTTAATTTAAATTTGACATTTTCTAGATTCCATAATGAATGCACGCCATGTGCCATGTTCTACATTTTCAGTGGAGTGACATTGTACCATGAAGACACAAGATTTCCTCACCAACCCTTTTGTCAGCAAGCGACAAAATGTGCAAGTGTCGGGTTTTACTCCATCTAATTCCACAGGAATTCGAATTAAATCTCTTTTACATTAAGAAAATTGGAAAGTTGTTACATTATACTGATTTTTCCTCACCATGTAGAGAACATGGCCATGGTGCAACAAAAAAATATACTGAAGGACTATGCACATGGTACTAAAAAATGGGGCAATGTGAATTGGAAAATTTTCTATGACTGATGCTAGATCATTTTACAATGACAGAGGATCAGAGCTGCAATGTGTGTTAAAAAAAGCAAACAACCCAGTTACAATATAACACAAATTAGGCTAACAATATTTCCATGAAACAAAATCTACTTTATATGTAGGTTGAAGCTTTCTAGAGGCCACGTTGCATTGCAGCAGTTCTCAACTTTGTGCAGCATAAGCTCATATATCTATGCACCATTCTTTGCAGTGTCAGCATGGTGTGCATGGCCATCTTCCAGAATCTTGCCATTTGCTTGAGTTCTCTGCCTCTGAGTAAAGTCACAAGAACCATGTTATGTCCAGATCACAGACAATGACATCACATAAAAAGAAGAGATGAAAAAAAGGACAAGTAGAAGACATTCAACACACCCAATCTGCAGGATCAACAACAGAATTCCCATTCAACAACTTGTGGTTCTCTTCTTTGGTCCTGCCATCTTTGTTGTCCTTGGTGCTTAATGGTAGCAGCAAGGTTGCTGCAGCATTTGTCCGGTCTGGTAACTCTGTGGAATGACCAAGTTAGCATAACAGCAAATAGGTATTGAATTCGGAATAGCAAATTTAATTATGTCCAAATGCACAAACCTGGTAATTTCTTCTCGATAAAAAATACCACCAAATTAACAGTATACCTGCAAAGAATCAAAACATTAAACCAAAATGGACATGGACCACAAAATTTGAACATTGCAATTCAGAAAATGCTCCTCACCAGGCAACAACTACATCAACCGTGTAATGTTTGCGTGAAGCTATTATCAACAGAGACTGACACACAGAAAGAGTCCACCCTAGCTGTTTTATACATCTGTAGTGGTTCATGAATAAGCACAATAAGTTATAACTGAAATTAAATTGTAGTACAATATGACAGTAATGAGTTATGGCAAGTTTTAAAATAAATAATGGATAATTACACAGACTTCCTTGAGGTTAAGGATAATTACAGGTTCACCCTTCTTGATTGAAATTTTTCACTCACCTCCCCTGCTTTGCTATTTTTAAGAGCAGTGTGTATTGTATATATGACGTAAAAATATTGGGAATTTTTAATTTTAAAATAATGTGTAAATGTGTGACGAAAATATAATTAGTAAGGGAACCTAGTGTAATATTTCTATCAAGAAGAGGTTTAGGTGTGATTAGCACAAACCTCAAGAAAGGATAATTATCCCAATAAACAATGAAGCAACCAAAACAAACGTTGATGCAGTGAAATCTTCTGGAAAACTTAAATCTTCACAAAAATGAGTTAGACCCATATAAAAGAAACATAAGAGTCATTTTACCTTCGTGTGCCGTATCTTTGATATGTAAGCACAAAGACAAGAGTAAAGATCATGTGTGATGAAAATATCAAATCACCACATCCATATATCACACCACGCGGAACTGCACAATGCAAACCAAATGAGCACCAAAACGACCAAAAAGGCATCAAAGCTAAATATCTCCAGTACAATAGTATACTAACAATTAATCAAGAGGACTTCAAAGACACTATCTGGGGGAGGCAGAGTAGCAAGTTTAGAACCCTGCATAATACATGGAGTTACGTCAAAAGAATTTTTCTTTAAAAAAAAGGAAACAGTCACATAGAAAGAAAAGAAAAAATTGATATAATGTTTGCTTAACAAGCACACGTTATCAAATAAGTATACCTCCCGACAATGGTAGTTTGGACCAGGAAGCTGAGTAGAATAAAATGTCACTATGCGAAGAGCTTGGGAAGCCTGCAGTTAACAAATACAGAGGAGCCAAGCTTATAAATGCTATTATATAACATCCTTATGCAATGGGTTATTCAGTCAACTCAAAACATCAAAATGACCATGAATTGACTATGCTGGCTAGACAATATAAAGGGTGAAGGAATGCGTAAGGTTAACAACGTATCTTTGATCATCCCTATGTACATTCCCAAATCACTTGTATATTCTTATTTATGAACTTTTTCATGCCTTAAAATGCTCAAATTGTTAACCCTTAAACTTAATTTACTTCCAAAATAATGGCAAATATCCATCACAACCTCAAGTCTTTTGAAACCAGTTAAAGGGTTAAAAAAAACAATGTCCAAAAGCACAGCGAGTCTTTTGCTTTTCTACTGTTTGGAATACAAAAACATAGGAAAATATCTTATAGAGAGGAAACCATGGTCAAACAGTAATGACGCTCACTTTTGCATTAATACGCATGACAGCATAACTAGACATAAGGCTGCGAAATCATGATTTTACTTTAATAATCAGTATTATATTTGTTGACAGCAAGGATTGCATTTTGTACTTGCAACATGTTAATTTATTGTCTAACCCAAAGCCGCAAGTCAAATGTTTAAAATGTTATAAATTATTAGACAATACTAAACACACTATGAACACTTACGACTAAGAAAGATAGAACCCTGCACCATATTAGAACCGTGTAGATCTTTTTGCTCTTGAATATGAAAGGGTGAAATGTCCACTGCAAAAGCACATATTGTAGAGCATATCGTTAAAACTTCATAAAACTTTGACACTTATTGCAGACTATAACTTCAAGGCGAAAAATATAATACCATATTGGCAACTGAAGGAAAGCAAATAAAGGGGGAAGAAAATTGAAGAGGGGAGGAGAATTCTTACAAGGACAAAGGATAAAAAAATAAAGGTAAACAGTGTTTCACTAATGTAAGCTTTGTCTTGCCCAAGCTCCTGCAACAGCATCGAGATTAAAAGTTAAGAAGGAGTCCTAGGTTAGACAGATTGTTTGAGACAGAAAAGGGAATGACAATTACAAACCGGAAGAAGGATGAATCCAAGATCCTGTAGTGTAGGGCCAGGCCTATGTAAATAATGAACTCCTCGTGCAGCCAAACCGTGAATGTACTGTAGGGAAACAATTTATTTTTTTATTTTAATATGAGAAACAATCATAAATAAATAAATGAAACTATGTCAAATTACATAGCAAATTATTCAATGTAGTAACTTACTATACAAACAAAAATACCTCATGCATAACGCTAAACATATGCAAAAAAGTTTTCCACTCTTTTCTTTTCGCTTTTCTCAAACGAAAAACAGAAAAAGATAATGCTTGATATAGCATTTCTACTACACATTTGCCTTCAACAAGTCCAACAATCTATTAAAGGTTTTTCTTTCAATTAGAGAAATGAAACATTAGACACTCAGGGAAACAGAGAGCTCCACATGATATTGAGTAATTTGGAATTGAAATGTAATAAATAAGTAGAGCCCATTACGTATGTCAGCAATCAGCATTTATTTGGGACGCAATAATTCATCTAATTTTGAGCATGCATTGAATGCCAAATTCTCAAAGTTGCAGAACATGACAAACAATGCTGTGCAGAGTAACCAGTTCCTTGAGTTTTTCCCATTGAAATAACAATCACTCTTGACACTAGAAGATAATCATTGACAAAATAACGTCTAATGATTAAACGGCAAAAGATTAGCACAGTAAACCATGTTCCTAATACAGAAAACAAGCAATCCCCCGAAGTAACCAACCATACCAACATGAAGGAGAACTTTTAGTAGCGTTCAAGTAAAGTTCCCACCACAACCCCATTCGAAAACTATTTGAATCTCCAATCCACGAAAAGAAAGGCAAAAGCGCCTTTGCATTGCTCTCACAAGGTAACCAGAACAACCTACTGTCAAACCATTCATGATATTGATCAGAATAGGAGGCAAACTAACCTGAAAAACAATACCGGCGAGAAGGTACTTCCAATTTTCCGCAAGTAGGTTGATCTCGGTAGTTGTTTCTGCACAAATTCTCTTCCATAGCTGCACATTAGACCATTTAAAACATAAATTAAAATTGACAATAAAGAGGGAAGATAAAGAATAAAAGGAACCATAAGCGAATGAACAAAAGGTTGTACTTAAATACAAAACGGTCCATAAAAGCAAAATAACCAACCTTGGAAGCCTCGCGACCAATGTAAAACGACATGTTCTTCTTCTTGTTTTGGTTGCTGTTGGTGCTTTTCTTGTTGATGCTGTTGTAACCGTATAACGACCACTTCCATATTACTTCATAACGACACATTTAAGGTCAACATCATTGCCCTCAAAAAATGAACCAACAATCGCATCAAAACCCAGAGAGGAATAAATTCTTTTCCCACTCTCTCACTATGAAAAACTGAATCTTTCGTTGGAAAAAACCACCCACGAGGCAGAATTGCGAGACAAACACAACGGGGTCGTCAAATATCCGATTCAAGAGCGGAGAAAACAAAAACAAGGAGAGGATCTGAGGAGAAAAGACCTAAACCCAGAAAAAGATAGAGATCGAGAGAACCCAGATGATGATCACAAAACGCCCAGTTCCCAGAAAATTCAAAAAAAAATAATCAAATGGGTTCTCTGAAACGGAACGGGAATTACAATGGCGAAAGGGGTGTTTGGGCTTTGCTTTCTCTCTCTAGACTCTCTCTCTCTCTTCTTCTCTCTCTTAACTTTCTCTCTCCGATTCTCTACCCTTTCTCCCTTGGTCTGACTGCAATGCACGCGAGTTGAACGCGGAGGAGACGGTTGAGAAGAGAGGGAGAATAACCAATATTTATATATAAAGCAAGTTCCTTTTTTTTTTCTATATTCACATTTTTTTGAAAAAAATTCACTATTTTAAAAAAGGGGTTGATTTTTCTATTAGGATTTTGATTTTGAATAGAAAATCGAGAAGAATGGAAGATGATGAGGAGTGAGAAATAGACAGATAGATACATGTTGGGATGAATAGATTAGATACACTACATGGTTTGACGCCACCAACACATGTTTCTCTTTCTCCTCCTGTTACTACGAAAGTGAGAGACACAGACAAATAAAACTTTGGTAGAATAAATGTTCCATGCTTTAGTTTCTAAATTTTTAATTAAAATTTTTTATTTTGTTCTTTTTTCATTAATATGCATGTTTAGCCAAGCTGGTAACATTAAATTGACTGATAAGTAATTAAAAACACACTTTGTTAAAAAAACTATACATAATTGATTCATAATATTTAAATAATATGATAACTTATTCCATATTTATCGGGATTATTATTCATTAGTGGAAATCCACGCGTTATCGTTCTTATACGTTAAAATATTTTTGTTGGTTGTTATAAAAGTACAAATCAAAGTTTACACTATAATTTTTATAAAAAATTACTTATCAAAATGTTGCGAAAATAAAAATAAAATTGTAAATATATATATATATATATATATATATATATATATATATATATATAAAAGGCAGGTAGAAAATTTGCCTTTTTTATATATTTATTAGCACAAAAATAAATTTTAGTTAGAAACCTGAAAAGTAAAAATGAAAGTGAGTTTTGAAAAATGAAATTTGAATTAGGTTAAGTTATTATGGTGGTTTTGTTTGTTTGAAAAGTAGGAACAATGATTAAGTTGGTGGTGGCTAATGGAAAGAATGATTTAGAAGGGAAAAAGAAAGGGTGGCTAGCTGTGCATTCTCTCAGGTCCTCCAGCTTCAGCCTGCAAATTTCATGTTCATTGCAGTGATTTTCCCTTTTTCAAATTAGGCTCCCTTAAATTTTTGCATGAGTTTAATATCATTGTTGGTAATATATATATATATATATATATATATATATATATATATATATATATATATATATATATATAAATTAAAAATCATGATAAATGTATTTTATATGATTATTACACACTATATAAGTTAAAAAATTATTATGTATATAATAATTTATAACAAAATATAAAAGTTATTTAAATTATTGACACAAGTGAAAATATTATTTACATTTCTATATTATTAGTTTTTAAAATATATTGCTGATTTATTTTTTAATATATGCCACATTTTTCTCTTTTTTATTTTATAACTGTCATATTTTTTTACCCTTCTAACCATTTTATTTTTCTCTCCACTTTCTCTACTATAACTATTTTTCTTATATTATTTTTCTCATTGATATCAAGCAAATAGAAAATAATATTTTTTATATATACAAAATATAATATATATATATATATATATATATATATATATATATATATATTATAGCTGTTATTATACTTGTCCATATTTTTTATTATTTTATATTACTTTAATTATAATTTAATATTTATATTAAGTTTAAATTTATATTTAAGATAAAATATGTGTATTATTATTTAAAAATAATAATTATTAAAATATGTCGCATATTATTTTTTTCAATAGATTGTAACATGAGTTTCATTTTAATAAGTAATTAATTTAATTAAAATAAGAGAAGATGTGAGTGGTTATAAATTTAAATTTTTATTAAATAATTGATTATTTTTATTTGATAAAAACTAAAATAATTTGATTTGAAAATGAAAAAATATTATAAAAAGAAACCCATTATTTATATATATATATATATATATATATATATATATATATATATACATATACATATATATATATATATATATATATATATATATCTTAAGTTTCCCAATTTTGATCTCGATTTCTAATTAAAACTCGTGAATATATTTAGTAAAAACGTATTTTAATTAGGATAACTTTATTTAAGTTTTTTATATGATAATTTCATTTAAATTAAATAAAAATATTATAGATAACAAAATTATATATATATATATATATATATATATATATATATATTTTGTCCAGTGTTTAGATTAAAAATATATATAAAGTATTTTTTACCTCTATTTTTAAACTGAGACTTATTAGATAAAAACGTTTTTTAACTAAGGATAACTTTAAGTTTTTTATATGATAATTTCATTTTAAGTTAAATAAAAATATTATGAGATAATTTTTAAAATCTAAATCTTTGATTAAATTAAAACAACTCTGGACAAGTTGATTTATATGTATGATCATTGACAATACATATAATTTCTGTATCTCTAAATATAAAACACTAATAAATAATTCATACATATTTAAAAAGTTGATTGATAAAATTAATGTCTTTAAATTTGTAATTATAATATTTTTTAGATTAGTTTTAAATAACTAATGTATGCATAAAAAGTAACAATATTGAATTTTTAATTTATAAAACTACATCTTTTAAAGTCTCCAATTTTGATAAGAGACTAAAATAATTAAGGATATTTTAGTAAAAAAGTTTTGATACAATGAAAAATTAGAAAAACCCAATAAAAAAACAAATTTTAAATTATATTTAAGAATGATGAAAATACTATTTAATCTCTGTATTTATTATATAAATAATGTAAGATGAATGTTTAGTGAATTATAAAAAAGTTATTGGAATTTTTTCACATGCTAGTATGTTAGTCCTTTAATATATTTTTTTAGTCTGATAATAATATTTTTTATGTCAATTTATATATATATATATATATATATATATATATTTTAAATATATCTTTAATTATATAAATAATTTTTAAGTTTTTATTTATTAATTAATATTTTTATTAGATAAATTAAAAAATTATTATATTTATATATTAAAATACTTTATTATAATTAATAATTTAATTGATTAATATTTATAAATTAAATTATAATATTATAATATATTTATATATTTAATAACATAAAATAAAAAATATTTTTAATTATATTTTAATTTTAATTTTGATATATAAATATTTTTAAAAATAAATAAAGGATCAATTAATCTCTTTTTATTCTTCATTTACCGATTGAGATGTTAAAATTTATAATCTATTTTTTATTTTATAGATAAACTGATGCATCGATGGATAGACCATTAAATATAATAATATTTTTTATAACAACTTGTTTTATAATAAATTTTTTTATAATTTTTATAATTAATGATTTTAATGTTGAGTTTAAGTTTCAAATTTGTAGACTCATTATTAGTGAGAATGGTTTCGTCCTTTGTAATAATCATTCAAATAGAACAAAATGTCTTTTATAAAAATAAAATAAATTATGCGATTTCTAAAAAAAAAATGTAAGTTGTGCAAAAATAATTACATAGTGTTTGCGGCGAATAATTGTTGGTGGCACCATAAAACAACGAAAATATAGTAATCAACAAAATTGAAATTACTTATTTTTCACATTTATTTTTTATCCAGTGGTTAATAATTGAAAATTTAAATATTATCTTTCTTTTTTTCATGTTTATTTCTATTCTGAATCTGTTTTAGGTCCTTCGTCTACATTGTTTATTCTCTTAATATTTGTTGGTTCTATTTTAGTTATTTCAAGTTTTTTTTTTTTTTTTTACCTTATTATTAACAAAATAAGATAGTGTAAAGAGCGTACACTTAAGTTTGTTTATATAATTTTTATATCTTGTATCTCTCATAATTATATTAGTGCAGTTACACTTATACTCAATTGGCTACAAGTTTTATATACCTTTTACATTTTATGTAGATGAATATTTGGTATTATTTATTGGTATTTTTACACACTCATGTGAATGCAGCTATACATTTATAAATAAATTTTTAATATAATTTCATAAAAGATAATACTCAAAAAACTTGAATTTCTAATAAATTTATTAAAAATTTCACATTAACCAAAAATATAATCAATTTATAATATATAATTAAAATATAAACTTTATTTTACAAGCTAATATAATATCATATTAAATGTCTCCTTATTTCAAATATGATATAAAAAATTATTATTTCGTTTATTATTCGAGAATTATCAAATCACACTTTTAATATACAATTTTTATTCCTCCATCAAATATATAATTAAAATTAGGATGTAAGTAATATATTACTATATATCAATACATTGGATATTAAATTTTTTAACCTTTTTTTTTAATAATTTCAATTATATAGTATTTTTGAAAGAGACTAAATAGGAAATGAGAGTTATTTTGAAACTATATTTTATAATATTTTATGAAAATAAAGTTTTTTAATACATATAAACTTTTTTATGTCTTTTTTTTTTCCTGTTATTCTTTATTTTCTCTTTCGTATTGTTTGTGCATATTCTGTTTCATGTAACTTGGAGCTCGACGGCATGTTGTCATTGCTTATGTAATCATTGGTCCTACCTTTCATCTCCTCTCCCAGTTGTTGTCTCTTTCTCTTACTTCTTGTCATCATCTTTTTTTTTTTTTCTTCCTTGTGTCATTGTGATCTCCTCCGCCCCTTACTTGTGCCATGCCATCTCTAATGGGCTCTATTCTCCGTTGACTTTGTCGTAGGCTAACTGCTTTCTCTTTAAGGATAATGTTCTATTAGTTTTTCACACCTTCTAGGTTAGTTTACAACATGTAGTACCTTAATCATTAGGTTTGGGTACGAGAAATTTTCTGTAGATATTTGAAATAGTGTTTTAGTTATTTATAATTAATGTATTGAGTCCACATATTTATCTTTTATAAATTATATTGTTTAATCTTTTCTGGAAGTCCATATATTATGTTATATTAGTGTAATTAAAAAAAAATGATATATCACATTAAGCAAACCATAATTTCTTATTTAAGATTCAATATATAAATTAAGTATTAACTTTAATTTCAAATAATTATTGTATAAAGACAAGAGGAAAAAAACACTATTAATTATTATATTAAATCATGAATTGTTTAGTTTAGTAATTTGGAAAGATTTATAACTTTTTTTCATAATTCAATAGTACGTATGTTTGATCAAAATTTAATATATTTCATAAAAATTTGGTTTATTGTATTTTTTTTAATTTTCAAAATTATATTTAATTATGGTTGATTTGATATTACCACTTTCATTTTGTGTCTCCTAAATATATATCAATGTGTAATGTTATCAAAATTTTGTAAAATGTAAAAAATATTGCTTAATAAATATGTACTAATACCTATATAAAAAGGTAAGTCTTCTTAAATAATTGATATTATTTTCCTATTTAATTTTAAATTTCATATTTATACTAAGTGGTATATTTAATATCTTGCACATGATCAGTATGGAATTCTATCAATTGAAAAATAAGACTTATATATAAACATATTGATATAATTTGTATTTAATGTTAAATCATTTTATTGGTAATTAAATAAATGAAATTTTAATATATATATATATATATATATATATATATATATATATATATATCAATTTGATCTATAAATAAAGCATTAGGTATTTTAAAATAATAAAAAAGTTTGTATAAATAATTAGTGTGGACGAAACTTTTAATGTAACTACGAGTTTTGAAGATATCCAATGAGTCAAAATATTATAGTGATGTAATATTGTATTATTTGATTATAACTGTCTTCTCTTTTATATTTTATATTTTAAAAAATTTAAAGTGGGGGTTAGTGAGTGAGAAATACAGGTAGGCCACGTGGGCAACGACATAATTCCCTTGTATGTCCCTTCACGCACGTCGTTTTGCCACTCCATACCAAACACACGGGAATCTACCACTCCCCCTCACCCAAATCAAATTCCAAAATTTTATAATAATGTGAAAGCTTCAAGCATCACAATTTCAATTTCAAACCATAGTTGGAAAAACCTCCATTCAAACGTATAAAGCAAGCACACAAATATTTTAGGAGTTTATTCACTCATCAATCGTTGTAAAGACCTGAATTGGATGCCAATTGGTTTTGTTCTAAATTCTCCTTTGCAACAACACCTCCACTGCTTTCCAGAAGGCTGAATAATTCCACCTCAAACGTATCTTCGGGTTTAAAACCCGCTTTCAATTTGTGGGGCATCCCAATCAATTTCTGCTCCTATCAACCCATTCTTTCCAATTACTTTATTTTTCTAAATTTTATTCCACTTTTAAATTATAACTTCTTATTCAATTATTTTACTTAAAACTCCTTATATACTTTCATATCATTCATATGTTCCTTTCGGTAAGTACGGAATAAAAACTTTAATAATTGATGTCTAGATCATGCTTATATACTTCATTATTGATGGATCAACTAGGTTGTCATATAAGGGGAAATGCAAACTCTTACGTGTGTCAATTTTAATAAATGAAATGAAACTATGAAAAATTATAAAATTTAAAATATTTTAAAAAATAGTTTGATAAATAGAAGAATATTTTATTATAATATGATTTATTTTAAAAATATTTTAATTTTTGGATATTTCATGTATCATCACGTCATCATAGATTTTATTTATGATATAAGCAAAACCTATTTCTAAAAGTTAAATAAATGTTAGTGACGATGAAAGTAACGATTTGGCAATGATTAGTCTATTATAACCTATAAATTATTTATTACTTTTTGTTAAAAGAATAAATTATTGAATACCAATACTTTATATCTTTTTTTAAACATATTATCGACAATCTATTAAAAATATAATATATCTCCTCGTCTTCTTTCTCATTCTTCATCTACATGTTTCACTTTCCTCTCTTCTCTTATTCTTTACTCACCATCTCAGTTTTTTCTTGTTCGTCCTTCACTGGTCATCTCTCTCACATTGGCCATGAGTCTTCTGTGGCTCCTCAATCACCATCTCTTTCACCTTCGTTGTCGATCTCACTCTTTGCATAATGAGTGTTTTTGTCGCTGTTACAATTTCTATTGGTTCCTTTCAATCGCACAACCACTATTTGTATCATTGCTACAACTTGTAGTGGTTCCCATTGTCGCTGCCTCCCCTTGGCCCCACTGTGATTGCCTTAGGTGTTTAACAGGTTTGTTTCATGATGTCGTCGTGGTCTTTGTGGTGGTCAACCTTCCTATTTATTTATTGAGGGTTAGGGTTTGGTTTTCTTATTGAGGGTTAGGTTTAGGCTCACTTGTTTAAGGATTAGGTTGAGTTTTTTCTATTAAGGGTTAGATTTAGTTTTGATTTATTTAGGTTTAGGATTAGGGTTACTTTGTTATTGATTAAGGTTTAGCTTTAGTTTTTGTTCATTATTTAGATTACTTTCTTACACAATTATTTTTGAAGATGAATGAATGAATTTACAAGTAAATATGTGATGACAAGATGTAATTAGTTAGAACTACACCATTGAGTTTGTGTTGCTCAGTTAGTACGAAATATTGGATGTTTATGATTTCAATTAGTAAATTCAATTATTGGATATTGGGGGTGATATATAATTTTTTCTTACTATATGTTATTGATCCTTAATAATAAAAAGGAATATATGTTTTGGCATAAGTTTTATGATATTGATTGTTAGATGACTTTCATAATATTGTCATGAAATAGTTATGTGCATGTGATGAATTTGTAGTAAATGTCGTCATAGTAAATAAATTTTACAGTATGAACTTAAATTGAATAAGGTAACATGTATTTGCAGTATGAAATGGAAACACATGAAAACATACATGATGAATAAGAAAGAGAAGAAGAATCAAAGTTGCATTGTAAATGGTGAAATATGTATGTTCCTCAGTTGTATTGTTCATCTAAGCATGTAAGTTCATTTAGGTAAGCATAAATGCTATGTATGAAAGATGTAAAACAAAATGTCATGTTCAGCTAATCATATAAAGTCAAGTGGTTAACCATATATCATAAGGTATAAGAAAAAAACCAAGTTATTCTTTGACATGTTTCATAATAAACATAATATTCATATTGAAAGTAATGGAGGACAATGTGATCATTGTTAGAAAATACAAGTGTGATTCTAAGTCCCACATTGGGTAAAAATGAGAAATTTGAGCAACATATAAGGAAGTATGACCTATACCTAGTGCCTTAAGGTTTTGGGTGGAGAGTGATGTCAATTCTTATGTGGGTTGGACACATTTTACCTGACTCACTCTATTAGGAAGATTTTCGATATGACCCACTGTTTGTTGGGTCTTTTGAGGGGATTCATAGGGGAGAAACATAAATAATGAGACATGAGTCTAATCCACATAAGGATTGACACCACTCTCAACCCAAAACCTTAAGGCATTAGGTTATGGGTCATACTTCCTTATATGTTACTCAACTTTCTCATTCTTACCCAATGTAGGACTTAGAATCACACTTGTATTTCTTAACAATCTCTCCCTTAAGTGTGAATTCCTTCACATTGGTACATCTCCCTCAAACTCATCAGTAGCCCCTCAAAATCACATTGGTACATCTCCGCCTCAAATACCAATATATTCTTTGAGATGTCTCATAATAAACACATTATACAATTTATTTTTCAAAATAAAAGGTATGAAACCCAATATATTGATAAGCTCGACAGATAAATGAAACAAAATGTCATTGTCAAATAACCATGTAAAGTGAAGGGGATAATTATGTAAACTTAGCAAATAAATAAAATAAAGTGCCTTATTTAGTTAACCATATAAAGTTCAGGGGATAACCATATATGATAAACTCAGCATATAAATAAAACAAAATGTCATTAACAATTAACCATATAAAGTCAAGAAGATAACCATATATGTTAGGAATAAATAAACATAGCATATAAATAAAATAAAATGTCATGTTCAGTTAACCAGGGGATAACCACACATGGAAAACTCAGTAAATAAATAAAACAAAATGTCATTGACAGTTAACTACATAAAGTTAAGAAGATAACTATATATGGTAGGAATGAATAAACGTAACATATAAATAAAACAAAATGTCCTGTTAAGTTTACTAGATAAAGTTAAGGGGTAACCACATATCAATAATTTTCACTAATAGTCTCGCTTGAGAGAAACGTGACCCAAGAGCATGTTTTTTATTTTAGATATTCTCGTTTAAGAGAAATTTTTGTCGCTCGAGCAACATGTTCTTTACTTGAGCTAGTAAACCCTTGCTTGAGCGAAATTGAACCCGAGAGTCACCAAAGTTACAACTTTTCTCGCTCAAGCAAGACATGTCTCGCTTGAATGAGAATTGTCCAAATTGCTTCCTCTCTCGTAGTTGTTCTCGCTAAAGCAAGAGCGAGTCTAGCCTGCTTGAGCATGAGTTACCCTGCTTCATTAACAAGTCAACTTTTTTTTCCATTTTAATTTTCTTCCCCTGGTTGATTGATTTTTTTTCCAATTTTTGTACTACACAACAAAGTATACACAAATTATTCTAAATTGGGAAAATTCCTAGTAAAAATTAAGGAAAAAAATGTTGTTAAATGTTCATCAAAATCTCATATTTTTAGTAAATTTTATCATTTAACATAGTTGTTTCCATTGTTCTACAACTGAAAGCATTGTAATGAATCGTAATTAATATGACCTAACATACACAACAAATAAAACTTATGTGGTTAGTCCTTCACAAATACATTGGAAGTTTAGTGAGGAATTTGATAACTATTATGCCATATTTTTTTATTTGAAAAATATCTATTATTAATAATTGAAATATTAAAAAAAATGATTACTTTCTTACCAACTAAGTTCATGATATTTTTTTAAAAGAAAATTAATGAAGTTGACCAAAATTTCCTACATAAATCTAAGTACTCGAAATAGACGATGACTACTTTGTACTTAAATGGTTACCTTCCTATTATATTTGTTGAAATGTTTAAAATGTGAAAGGATTAATATATTTCTTCTTAACATGTCATAATATGAGTGTTATGCATGTCTTAGTAATATATTTTTCCTTTGTTTTGGAAGTAAAAGTAATTTAATGAATAAGAATTTATATGATCTAAGATACATAACCATTAAACATTAATCGGTTAGTTGTTCACATTTACGTTGGGAGTGAATGATGAATTTCTTTGTCACACCACTTTCTTTTATTTGTAAAACAATTTTTATTAATAATTATAACCAGTGACAGTTCTTCTTGTGGTCCCTCCAAAGTTTTGTAACTCCTATATAATTTATAATTTTGGTTCCTAAAGTTTTGTAACTCCTTGATTTGTTCCCTTTAAACTTAATGATCATTTAATATATTTACAATTTTATTCTCTCACCCTTTCATCTTCTTTTACCCTTTTATATTATTATTTATTAATAATATATTATTTGGTCTCCTCAAAATCAATGATCAAGATCTGCCACTAATTATAACATTTTGACAAATGATTAATTTTTTACCAAGTAAGTCATGATAGTCATTTTAAACAATAGTTATTGAACTTTACAAAATTACATACATAAATATGATTTCAATAATACATGGTTACTAGTTTCTACTTACAGGTTACCTTGTTCATACGTTTGGTGAAATATGAATATTGTACAATCATTATTATAACTTTGAGGAAATGATCGGGAATAACAAGAACGCAAAAGGGAGAAAATTACTGAAAACACTAGGGTAGAGAATGTCGATCTTAACAAAGGTGCCAGAGACGACCATATTGCCAGAGACTAACAAGGAAAGGATTTCACAAATCCAACAACTCTGTTTCCTTGACATTGTACACGTTCTTCCTTCCTTGACATTGTGCCAGAGATAACCGCGATGCTGGAAGATGCTACTGTTGCACTCGACCGGAGACTCTATTAGAGAAGGGCCTTAAGGGGTTGACAAATCGAGTGATTGTGCTTCCTTGTCACTATGCTTGGTCTTACTTCCTTCACTGGAGATGACCAGGATGCCTCGTTACTGCACTCTGATAGCTTCAACCTGGAAAGGGTGAAACAACTTATGCGCAGGAAAATATGTTTTACTCATAAGAGGTTCCCTCACTTTCACCTTTGTAACATTGACAAAAATGTCTCCCACCTATCTCTAAATTGTGTGTTTCGCTCTTACAAATGGTAAATGGATCATTGATTTTTAATAAAATCATTTATTTTATCTTTAGCTGTTG